GAATAGTTACACTGCTATTCAATTTACGCTCTGTGTAACAATACATTTCAATCACCACGAACCATCAAATTAATTAACGTATGATAACCATCGGCGCCGGTTTAATTCTAAGATTGATATGAAATTTAGATAGCAGACGTTTATGTGCTCAGTTCTATTTCCTCTTTTCACCAAACTGTCAGGGAGCGCAAAATAAAATCCACCGAACGAGAACTTAAGAAAGAAGATTGTCATGGCGTCGAGACGCCCGATTTAATAATCGTCCCTCTCTTTGACTACTCGCTGTATGGCCAGTTCTTGCGTCTAAGAACTGGGGAGCTGTTACACGTTCATACTTGAATAATGGTGACACCCTGCCACTCTGACCTGCAATATTCTCTGCTTTTATCATCAGTGTTACGAACAGACATACAGAGCTGCACGTCCTATTAGAACATCTTTTTCTTACGACATGTTTCGGTTCTTAAATGAACCATCTTCAGGTGTATAAAAATTAAAATTATATAAACTTAAAACTTAATCGTAATTTCTTATATGCAACTTTTTTATAGTTGTTTATCAGTTAACTTCCAGATTCCATTTTTATATATTTGAAGTTGTTTTACATATGTGCGTCGTGTTTAAATAAACTTTTTTGTTGGTGAATATTTTTGTTGATGTTCTTACATCGGCCTGTAATGCGAATAATTTAAAGAACAAATGAATATTAATGAATATGAATAAAGAAGATAGAAACAAAATAATATATTTGAAAGTAAAATTTGAACATACCAAAGATGAGAGGTGTAGATAAGTTCCGATGTGTCTGGAAGTATTATCGTATTTGAACTGAACTGAGTTCGCTATTGATCGTGGTTGTTGGTAGGGATGGTAAGTGAAAGGGAGTTGTTGGGGGTGGGGTTAAGCATTAGGTTAAAATAATACGTCAGTTTCTTAGAGTCAAATATGTGCTTGTTCGTTTAGATTGCTCTGTTATTTAAAACCAAAAGCATACTGTGCACAAATGTACTTTGATATTTAGTGGTACATTAACCATCCAACAGAGAATTTTATCAATATTTTAAAGAACACTGTTATATACAGTTTACGTTGTCCTAGAAAACTGTTTTATGTTTTGGGATCAAATTATTGCATTGTAGCATGTAAGAAAACAGGGCTTAGGGCAAGTACGAACTGGGACACGACGGTCCAAAAGTAAGGTTGCGCTGAACCACAGAGGATTGATTTCCAAGTTAATTCTGTTCCAGATGTAGGCCTATACAGCCGGAAATGACGACGACTTGGAAGTTCCGTGGCAGCACTGTAGCTCACTGCACTTTAAACAACATCCTCCTCAGAGCATCCCTAGACACTTAATGCAATATTCTGTTCTGTGTACAGAATATATGAACGATGTAGTTGATAAACATTTTAAATAGAAATTAAAATTGACATCGTCTTATTACTAAACAATGGCTACTATAAGGCATACACAATTGTAAATCCCTAAATTATGTTAGAACAAATGAATAAATACACACGTCACATGTGTTTATTACACACCACGTTGAGAGGAATATAAATGAAAGTATCATAAAATTTTTAAACGTGTCTATACGACGTACTAGAACATAATTTGGCACAGAGAAGCTGAAGATTAAAACAAAATAAAATGTTAGTCACAGTTGAAGCGTTCCTCTACTGTCCTGTATGAGACGACTTTCGACGAGTGATGAGAAACCACATTCGCTCTTTCATTTCCGCATTTAGTACAAAAGTTCAGTCTAAGTTAGAAATGAACACCTCATCATCAATACAGTTGAGTTAGTAACCTAACAATTTACAAACTGAATGTTAAAGGGTTCACATTAGCTGTACACTGTTACAGAAATTATTTACTGTCATTGCATCCGAAGGCCCACAAACACCCTCCATCAAATCCTACATCCTACACGCTTCGCCTCCATGATACTTTTTAATATTGTCATTCTACTAACTCCCATCTGTCACTTTACACGAGGAACTCAAACTAATGTTCTTTATCCAAAGCTTGTTTCATTCCCTGTGTAAATTATTATTCTTAATTTAATCAAAACAAAAAATA